TATATATATATATATATATATATATATATATATATATATGACAGAGAAATTTACATGTAAAAACGTTTTTGCTTAGATTTGTAACCATTTTTGGCCTTTTGTATAAAATTCGTTGCATACTACGTTTCCTCCTTGATCTAAGCAATACTTTTGAAGGTCTCAAATATCTCCAATTTTTTGTCACATAGATAAATAATTTATTAATTAGTGAACTATCAAATAATTGATAAATTAACAATTATTAATCCAAAGAGTTTAGAAGAAACTTATTTCGTAAAGACACATGAATCGTATTGTTAAGATGTAGAACTGACATTTGAAATTCTTCTTAAGTTGATTTTGCAATTATCTACATTCTCTCTTCTCTCATTTCTCTCTTCTAGTTGTATACATCAATTATCGTTATGCATGTGTGTCGAATATCTCTTTATTGTCATGAAAATGATAAAACATATACATAGATGTTAATTTATGAGTGTATAATTGATAATTGTACTGATGTTGGTAAATTTGTTGAAATCGAATATATTATTTAAATAAAAATTTAATTGATAGAGTATTGAATTAAATATGATGTGAATTTTGATGAGAAGTTTCTAATGTTGGAATAAATAATTTCAAAATTATTGTGTTATTTTAATAAATCAGTCTTCGATTGACAAAAAGAAAAAAATGATCTATTGTTAAATTTATACGCAAGTAGATATATATAGGATGATGCATCTTAAATTGACTTTGATTAATTGACTTATAATTTTTTTTTTTTTTTTTTTAATTTTGAATTTGAAAAAATGTATGTAATTTTGTGACTCGTTAGAGTTGCAAGCCCAATAAGAATGGATACATTTTTTCGGCCGCATCAGTTGGAGGCCCATTAACGGCTCAAATATTAAAATTTAATTAAGATAATGTTTTCTCTTCTTCTGCTTCTTTTATTCTTTTACTAGCAATTGTACCCGTGCGATGCACGGGACAACAAATTGCATTCTTTTGATGTTGTAAGAATATAAACAAACGTTTGATGTATCGTATGATCAAAATTCTATTATATTGGAACATTATTAAGTATACTACACACAAAAAAAAAGGACATAACTTTACTGTTGAATAATTTTCCAAATGAATTGAATCAGCTAATACCAGGAGATTGAAAATTTGAACCAGGAAAGAAATCATCAATTATGTCTTCCATGTTGAGCTTAAAAGTAATTAGATTTAATAACTAAGTTAACATAATCAAAACTAAACTATCGACAACATACCATCGTAAAAGGCCATCTATACATCTTGCATCGGAACTAAGCCCTTCTCCACTGCCTCATTTTAAGGTTGTTTTGCCACTGGAATTAACAATTGGAAAATTAAGAAACAAAAATAAATATAAACAATAAATTAAATATCGCATACAAACAATAAGTCTTGAAGGTCGACTTCCAATAGCTTGTGGCTCCGCCCATTTTTGGTTAATTTTCTCAAATCATCCCTTTCAATAACATGTCCAATAACATATAAAATGAAATAATTGTTATACATAAAATTTGAAAACTTTGGTATTAATGAAACACATAATTTAACAAAATGAAATTACCTATAAGCCATGATGGAAAAAGATGTAAACTAATTGCCACACATGCAATAGGATGAAGAAGAAGATAAGAAACAAAATCTAAAGTCGGTTTACCAAAAGAAGAAGCCTTAGGTAGGGAAGAAATAAAAATCAAATGTTGTAGACATTCTGTAAAACGATGTCACAAAATCCGCTAGGGACGAAAATCAGATTTATTTACCCTTTTCTGTAAAAATCGAAAATCAGATTATTATAAATAATATCTAGGAGAATTTGATGAAAATCGATAATAATATTTAAAATAATATTTCGGAGATAAAAATTTGATAAAAAAATCAAAAAATAATATTTAGGAGATAAAAATCAAAAATAAAATTTAAAATAATAGTTAGGAGATAAAAATTTGATAAAAAATCGAAAATAATATTTCAAATAATGTTAATGAGATAAAAGTTGATAAAATATGAAAATAATAATTAGAATAATATTTAGGAGATAAAATATGATTAAAATCAAAATTATTATTTAAAATAATATTTAGGAGATAAAAATTTGATAAAAATCGAAAATAATATTTAGGAGACAATAATCTGATAAAAAACGGAAATAATATTTAGGAGATAAAAAACTAATAAAAACATGATAAAACTCGAAAAAAATATTTAAAATATTATTTAGGAGATATAAATTTGATAAAATTCGAAAATAATATTTAGGAGATAAAAATCTGCTAAAAGTTGAAAATTATATTTAAAATTATAGTTAGGACTTAGGAGATATAAATTTGATAAAATTAAAAAAATATTATTTATAATAATATTTAGGAGATAAAAATTTGATAAAAATAAAAAAATAATATTTAGGAGACAAAAATCTGATAAAAATAAAAAATAATATTTAAAATAATATTTAGGGGATACAAATATGATAAAATTCAAAAATAATATTTAAAATAATATTAAGGAGATAAAAATTTGATAAAAATTGAAAAAAATTACAGATATGACATTAGGGTTTCTTAGGGTTGCCCTAGCGTTTCTTTCTTTTATATATAAGATATCTAGGAGAATTTGATGAAAATCGATAATAATATATTAAATAATATTTAGGAGGAAAAAATTTGATAAAAAAATCCAAAAATAATATTTAGGAGATAAAAATCGAAAATAAAATTTAAAATAATAGTTAGGAGATAAAAATTTGATAAAAAATCGAAAATAATATTTCAAATAATGTTAATGAGATAAAAGTTGATAAAATATGAAAATAATAATTAGAATAATATTTAGGAGATAAAATATGATTAAAATTAAAATTATTATTTAAAATAATATTTAGGAGATAAAAATTTGATAAAAATCGAAAATAATATTTATGGGACAATAATCTGATAAAAAACGAAAATAATATTTAGGAGATAAAAAACTAATAAAAACATGATAAAACTCGAAAAAAATATTTAAAATATTATTTAGGAGATATAAATTTGATAAAATTCGAAAATAATATTTAGGAGATAAAAATCTGCTAAAAATTGAAAATTATATTTAAAATTATAGTTAGGACTTAGGAGATATAAATTTGATAAAATTAAAAAAATATTATTTATAATAATATTTAGGAGATAAAAATTTGATAAAAATAAAAAATAATATTTAGGAGACAAAAATATGATAAAAATAAAAAATAATATTTAAAATAATATTTAGGGGATACAAATATGATAAAATTCAAAAATAATATTTAAAATAATATTAAGGAGATAAAAATTTGATAAAAATTGAAAAAAAATTACAAATATGACATTAGGGTTTCTTAGGGTTGCCCTAGCGTTTTTTTCTTTTATATATAAGATTACGAATTGTTTTCCCTGCTAACTTGAGCTTCGGAGTTTCTCTTCGAGGCTCAATCCCTGAAATCTCAGGTGAACGAAGCAGTTTTCTGACAATCGAGGATAAGTGAAAGTGTTCGAGAATCATCCAATGCAGTGAATAACACTAGTACACATTTTCTCTCGGCGGGTATCTCCCTCAAACCTTAATTCCGACGAAGACATCTCTTTTAGAGACTTTCTTTGATGGTCTAAAGGAGATCGGCGTCACTAGAAATTTGACCGCATGCAAATCACGTGCAATCACACATAAAAACAAACAAACGCCCCCCTACACACGTGTTATTTATTTATTTAAATAAAAAATATCGATAGAAAAACAAACAAGGTTCTCCGAAAAAAATGGCTTTTATCACTATTGATGCTAAAATACATACCTAATCTTCAAGATGAGATTCACGTTGTTGCCCATATATATATGCTTTGTCTTTTAGACATTTGTGCCTATGATCCCTATTTAAATGGAAAGATATTTGTTAAACAGTAAAATATGTACTGGATATTTTGATGGAGTGTAACATCAAACAAATCCATTCAATATAAGTTAATTATTTTCTCTTTTTTCAAATAATACCCTACTTACCCTAAATATTTAAAAAAAGAACTAAACTTTTTAGGGTAAAGTAGACTTACACCCCTGAGATATGTTAAAATAACTTTAAGGTCCATGTAGTACTGATAATTACAACCACACCTCTGAAACATTTACCGCAACCAAGATTTCATGTCTTGGGGACCAATACGCACTATATTTGTTTCCAGCGGGGCCGTTAATGCTACCACAGACAAAAAATTATAAATCTTATACAAAATAATAAGAATTTAAGAAATGTTAGGAGAACCATGTCCATTCCCTAGCTCTATGATGTTTCCACCACTGTCTGAAACTAATAGTTCATTTGAACCCTAACGGCATAACTTATCCAATGTATTATTCCGTTAGGGTTTCTAACAATGTTTAAGGGAGATGATTGTAATTATCGATACTACATGGACCTTAAAGTTATTTTAGCATACCTCAGGGCTGTAGGTGTAATTTATGCAACTTTTTAATTAGTTCTGTAAATACCCGCTAAAAGTTCCCCTAACCCTTTAACGGCTATATATTTGCAAATTAATTCACCGCTCTTCTTTCATTTCCATCACACACACCAACACGCAGTACTTGCGAAAATTCAACAATATATGATTCGCGAAATAGAAAAAAAAGGGGCGGGAAAATTGAAGAGCCGATCGAACGAGATCTACTTTTTGCTTCGATCAGATATTCTGAAATGGATCCAACCAACAAATCGTTGGTAAATCATTTTTATTTTTTTCTAATTATTGCATTTAAATATATGCGCAGTGGTGTGTGTATGTCAATTTTGTTGATTTTTGACAATTATTTAATTATCTCCGTGGAGAAGCTGGGATGTAGGGCTTTGAAATTCTCGGAGAAACTCTGCGCCGCCGTATTCCCCGTTATATCGATAATCGACTCCTTGATTTTTGCCTTCTCCGGTTGTTTTGAATACCGAAATTCGTGCCGGAGCAAGGAATCGCACTACGGAAACAAGGAAATCGTTCGACTCTCGCAGGAATCACACTGTATTTATTGACTATTTATTTCCTACCATTTTTGGTCGTTTTACAATTTTCCTTTTTTTTATTTTTATTTTTTAATAAAAAATAAATTAATTCGGAGACTGTTTTTTGTGGTTTGTTTTGTAGTTACTGTGAATGAAGTGGAGGCATTGCATGAGTTGTTTAAGAAGTTGAGCAGTTCGATTTTCGACGATGGATTTGTACATAAGGTATCAACTCCTAGCTAATTACTGTTAATCTATTTCTCAGATGATTCGAAATATCGTTTATTTAATTTTGAACCTCGGCTCAAGTTCGACTTGTGTTCGTTTAGACTAAAACTGTTTGAGTTGGAATTGTTTTAACGATCAAACATAATTTACACCTCTAATCGTTTGATTAGCCAGTGTTTGATAGCTAATGATCTTAATTCCGAGTTGATTCCATAAGCCGACAAGTAGCATTAGTTTGATACTAAGTTTGCGTAAACCGATTGACAATTTTGCCTCGGGACTGAACATTCTCGTATAACGATCATAATTTGCTTAGTTTTGTTCACGCAGGAAGAGCTTCAGCTGGCGTTGTTTCGAACATCATGTGGTCAGAATTTTTTCTTGGATCGGGTAAACCACAGTTCTAATATTCTATTCCTCTCGTGATTTTCGGCACTCGATATTTGACTATATGTAGACTGAGATGGTTTACCTGGAGAGTACATGTGAAGAGATTAAAATGTTGAAATTACAAGAATGCCCCTGTTGTTAAGAAGCCAAGTTAATACTCTCTGTTGTGGCTTATAGAAAATGGCCGGAAATTAATCAATTATAGTTAAAGCTTAACTAATTTCAGTATCGAGCGCATTATGCTGAAATTAGGGGCTAAATAACTGTCAAACTCAAATGTATATTTACTATTATTATCTCATTAAAGTTATTATCGAAACACAAATTTCTCGTAAACGTCTGGCTTTTGCCCACAGGTTTTTGATATTTTTGACAAGAAAAGAACTGGTGTTATTGATCTGGAAGAATTTGTTCACTCCCTCAGTATATTCCATCCCAATGCCCCCGTGGAAGACAAAATCGAATGTAAGAAGTCGCGAAGATGGTTTAGAATACTTTAATCTACGATGATTTTTTTCTTTCTTTCAAGAAAGTGTTCAAATTCAATTTGTGCACTAAACACTTCTGCATGTGACGCTTTTCGTTGTTTTGCAGTTGCATTTAACCTTTATGATCTGAGACAAACCGGGTCGATAGGGCGAGAAGAAGTTAGCATCGTTCTTTATATATTTTTCAAAGGCGACGAGATGTTATTTTCTTACAATTAATATCTTCTAGTAGATATTATAATTAAGTTAATAAAGAAGGGTTTTTGGTGTTTCAGGTGAAGCAGATGGTGATTGCATTACTAATCGAATTCGATATGAAACTCACTGATGAACTCCTGGACCAAATTATCGAAAAGGTTCCGCCTCTTGTGTGAATCCACTAATTTTTTATTTTTTTCGTAATAAAAATCTAAATTGATGGAGTAAATATATATGTTAAATTGTGCAACACAGACATTTATGGATGCTGATGCTGATGAAGATGGTAAAATTAATGAACAAGATTGGAACGCTTTTGTCGCTCGACATCCATCGATTTTGAGGAACATGACTTTACCTTATTTGAAGTATGCATTTTCTTTGCTTATATATATCAGTTGGGTATTTGGGCATAAGGAAATAACTCTCTCTCTCTCTCTCTCTCTCTCTCTCTCTCTCTCTCTCTCTCTCTCTCTCTCTCTCTCTCTCTCTCTCTCTCTCTACCTGCGCAGGTTTGCTCAAGTAAAACTAGGAATGACCTGAAATGTGTCACTTGGCAATAAAGTAGATGAAGATATTAACAAGTTTGTCCCAATGTTGCAATGTTATAAATTTTGTAATATATATATATAGATATTTTTCAAGATATGAGTGTGACAGTCGAGTGTCGATCAAGGATCAGAGATTATTCGGAGAAATCCTTAAATAATAGTAAGAAACTGCAAAAAAAGCGACCAAACAATCCAAATCGATCAGTAAAAAAAAAAAAAGAGTATTATTTCTAATTTGAGTCTTGAATTAATTTACACAAAAACCAAAAAAATGTATATATAGTTTTTTTTTATGTTACATAAACATGGATTCTTTGGGTTGGAGGGTTTGGTCGTGTAAATATGATTGATACAGATTCTAGAATGCTTTCTAATTACCTCCACTTGTAGATATTTTGTAGGAATTACTTTGAGTGTTTTAAAGAATAACTCATATCCTTTCAATCGAATTGATTCCTTCAGTCCATTAAGGAGATGACTTAGTATAAATAAAGTTAGTCTTCAATAAATTTTCCTACAGAAGCATGGAATCCCATAAAGTTGTGCAATGAGGAGGTAACTTAATATAAATAAGGCTAGTCTTCAATACTTTCTCCTACCAGATAATGGAATCCTAGAAAGTTCAAACAAAAGAAATAAAATAACAAAGATAGGCAAATAAATCACTTAAGAAAGCGAAAGGAAATGAAAATAAAAGAACAGGGATATGCAAATAAATCAATTAAAAAATAAAATACGTGTTATCTTATTCATGTCCATGGTAAATGGCCTAAAACATACCAAAATATTTGAGTACACTAAAAATTTCATTGCGTTCAAACCGAATTAGCAATTGTTTCCATAAATAACTTAATTATCAAAATTTTATTGTATTAATAAATTGCAGTATAAAAATAATATATTATAGTATAAGTATTAACATTACATATATAAATATAAATAAAAATAGCATAATTTTGAAAACAAAAAATCGAATTACCAGCCAGGACCGACCCGATGAACCCAAACATTTTGTTCTCTTAAATGTTGAACGACGTGCGTTTTAGTGCATTAACTCTTCTAATATCATTACTTTTAATTCAGGGTAAATTACGAAACCCCTTAAACCTAATAGGCTAAATAACGAAAAACACATCATATGTAATGGCCAAAATCCCCCTCTGATTAATTGTTGATCGAGAAAATGTGTACAGTCTATTATACATTTTATTAAGTAAGTGAGAAATAAAAGAAAATATCTGAAATTATGTAAAGTCTATTCAGTAAAATAAAATAAAAAATCCGTGAAAATTCACATTGCAAAGGGTTCGTGTAAGACCGAAACAAACCTCAGAGTTTTTTGGTAATTACGAATAGGTGGAGGTGATTTTTGCAATTTAATCTAAGTTTAGGGGTTTTCATAATTTCCCCTTTAATTTATTCTTTTCCTTCATAGTTCTGCACTCCACGTTTCAAAGAGTATACTTACACATATACATACACAAACATGGCGGACAAACCAAGCAGAGGGCTGGTATTGTATGGGGACGGGTTAGCCCGATTGATTGGCCCGGCCCAAACCAACCTCCATGGTTTCGCTTCTCGGGCCTCCTGTGGTTTCTTAGCTCTTCATCATTCCCCTCCTTCAGGTAATTTCATACTGTCTCCTCGGATATACTATTATTCAGATTGCTGCATTTTTTTCTTCTTCTGCAGATTTAGAATTCGAAAATAGAAATTGAAAAAAATAAATGGAAAATCGGTTAAATTAAATTCATACAGTATATAGTCTATTGCCGATTTTGTTCTTCAAATTTACTTGGAAATTAGATTGCAGAAAATGAGGAAACAAGGTTAATTCGCGAGTTTGCAGAGATACTCGATTCGAACGAAGCGTATGGAAATACGGTGAGATTGATCGGTTTTTTAATCGTTCGATTTCGATTTCAATTTCGATTTCGATGTCGAACATTACAATGTCAATTGTAATGAAGCTAACATCTCCTTGTAATAATGCACCTTCAGGATGTGGAAAACACACACGAAGAGAAGCTTTCGTTCCCAACTGTAGCCGAGAGGTTTCGTTTTAACCTAATTAGGGTTTGATGCACTCGAATATATCTCTAAGTATGATACACTAATTACCTATATAATCCTTTGGCTTGCGCAGATTTATGGGAATGAAAGCATCTATAGTAACCGACGATTTGAGCTTGAAATCGTTCGGAGGTACACTTGGCTTCAAAGTGTTTAACTGGAACGAGTTAACTCGCGACGGCGATTTAGCTTCTGAATTGCTGAAATCGCTTGGATTTCAAGAAGGGAAGACGTTAGAAACGAGCATGTTTGATTTAATCTTTGTTCATATTGGAGCTGGCGTAAAAATGAATGGTCTCAAAGACATAGAACTGGTGAACAAATTGGTTGGCGATTTATTGCATGTGGCACTGTCTGAATCTGAGGTCGGTTCTCGATTGCACATGTCGGTTATTATGAGCTATGGTGCTATAGTGGGAGATGACGATTTAAAACTCTCGGTTTTTGATAATAAAATCGAGAATGGCAGTGAATTTTCAGGGGTTTTTCCACGTCAAAGTTACACGATGAAAGGAGGAAAGCCAAGGGAAAATGTTAGGTAGGAGTTGGCAATTGATCTTTTATGGTTATTGAATGCGTATCGTATTATAGGCTTAATGAATTTCGTTTTACAGGAATTACTGCCCAATGCTACTTGCCCAGTATCAGAGTGCTGTGACTCGTATGGATACGGTGGAATCGTTTTCTTATAGAGATTTTTTTGAGGTAAATATCGAAATTATTTTAGAGACCCTTTTTTTCTGGTTCTATCGTATGTTTGGTTGTTGTTTAACGTAACTTTCACATGCTTAAATCTCATTGTATATGTTCTATAGGCACATTGTAATTTCTGTAAGAGCTAATTTGGCTTAAGTTCGGCATTCTTGAATTTATTGAAGTAGATAATATCCGATTATTCCTTTCTTCTCTCTATAAACAAGATATTTCGACATCTCTAAGAAAAATTGAATAAGCCTATGACTAAGATTTAATGTAGCTCATAAACCAAGTGGCAGTTATAGCATCGTGATGTAGTGCATTGAGTAGTTTATCATATCAGGTTGTCTCGTTCGTAAGATGAAAATATATCATAGAAATTGTGTTTGATTGAATACTTTTCTTTCTAAGTAAATCATGTTTTATTGATTGCGTATGCTGACATCCCGATTATTAGTTCTTGTAATTTGGTTATGGACAATGACCCTTGAGATTAATTTCCGATAATTATCTCTCTCTTACCTGGTATTTATGAGCTATTTTTTTTTTCATTATTATCGAGTTTTGAGAGAGAATTTTTATTGTTGCAGAATGGTGGAAACCTGGTTATACCAGCAGATAGGTTCTTACATGAAGTAGCGTTCAAACTTTGGAAGGCGCCCAAGTACGGGGCGTAAGATAGGCCTAATATAATGCAACTGAAATACAATAAAATCGAGTTTGAGCTCTGAAGATATAAACAAGATTATCAGTTCATTTCTTATCTTCTTACAGCACTAATCTTCTTACAGTTGGTTCCTTTAACAACTTTGTTGCAGTTAACATTATCAACGCCATAAAACGGCTACACTTATGTGCCGTTTATTTCTGCGTGTAATAATCAACATAAACTCGTTTGCAACATCTCAATGTTTATCATCATTTGTGCCTGTTCAAAACACGGGAAAGCTTCGGTTGAAATGAACCCAAGTCATCCTCAAAATTTGAAATCCGAGACGATTTTTTCAAAAAAAAAAATTAAAAAATCGCATATATATAGCATTCTTTTAGGACCAATCATTTCGAATAGAGTTTCATAATGTTAGTTCGTGGAAAAAAGCAAATAAAACATCTAACATTCTAATACGTTCGTAAAAACATAAGTACCCATCAAAAACCATCCAACAAGCATGAACGAAAACGAAAACAATCCAATTAGAAAAGGCCATCCGACCATAAAAACACCAAAGCAGATCATAACAAAGAAAGGCAAAAACGATCTCAAGACCGAAAAGGCATCGACCCAATTCCCCTTGAACAGTATTAGAGCTGCAACATTGACCATGTTCCAATTCATTGACCCCTCGTAGCATAGCCTATTCAGACAGTTGGCGACAAACGAGTGGCAGTTGCATGTGAATAGGTTGTAAGATTTGTGCTCAAAATGTCGCGTGCTCGATTGAACTGCATCGTCCCATGTTATTGCAGTCCCGTATTCAGCATGTGCGTAGCGTTGCTTGCATTTATGCCCAACGAGATTTGGAGGGAAACAACACTGTTTATAAAATAAAAGTAAGAAAAAAAAAACATATGTAGTTATTATATATTTGACTACTTGTATAGACTTCAAATTACATATACTGCAAGAAAATAAAATAAATAAATAAATTGAAGGACTTCTCGTCTCAATTCGAAATACAAACAACCATTGCTTTTTATTCAATTTCTTTATCATAACTCGACTCTGAAAATTACTGAATTTATGCAACAGAAGTGACAAATGTCAACCACTTCTATTTAAAAGAGGGGCATGACACGTAATCAAATGTTAGCATGCAGGCATTTAAAATACCAAAAATAAAACCGAAAAACTATCGAGCGAAAACAAAAACTATTACTCTACGGGACCCACAACTAAAATTACCTTGTTTCGATCCAATTGAAGGTATCTTGCAACAGAACCAAAAGCAAAATCATCAACATTAACAAGATTCGAACCAGAGAAATCTAAAATGGTACCGTCTTCTCTGCATATTCCAACATGTCCGATGAAAGGCGCTAACCACGAAACTATAGGGAGTGGGGTCCACACAACACAACACGGGAAGTTCGGTTTCTTAGGATCTACTTCATTCAACGGCCACAATTCGTGCAGAATATTTTCGGCAGAAATTTTGTTCTCAACTTCTTGGGAAAGGTTAAGTTCCACCAGAGAAATGTTTTCCGAAGGCATATTGATATTGGGTAAACACAATCTCCCAGTCCCGGTTATTTGCTCGTCGGAAAATATTCTCCGGTGAAGAAAGATTGGCTCTGAAGGATAAATATATAACTTTCCGTTAAATATATAAACGAGTTTCGCCTGCCACATAGCATATAATCTTGAATGTATACTTCATCATTTGAAGAAATAAACATTAAGAAACCACAAACTAAATATCATTCGAATTTCGCCCGTTCGGCCGTACATACATTCAAAACTGAAAATTAACCCGAAAAAAATTGAAAATACAAATAAAAATTCAATTGATCAAGGCAATCTCGAGCTGGATTCGAGAAAAAAACAGTTATACAACTACCATATCCTTGAAGACAAAACCCTTTTGTTATTATAAAAAAATTCATTTGTCTCCCCCAAACAAGTCCTTAGGGTTTAGATCAAAGAAATAATCCATGGTAGCTAAAATGCTTTAAAACCCAGAAAAAACAAATAAATAAGTAAGATAATCAAAGACAAGATTAACTTTATACACTGAAACTGCATTCAATAATGTAACCCTAGATTATAAATTTCAAAATGGGCAGCTCAATAAACAGGATGAAAATTAAGAATAAAGCTAAACTTACCTGTAAAAAATTAGAAATTGAACATCAAAATGCTTTTCGATTTTACTGAGAATCTGAGCTCGAGAAAGAAACAGGAGAGATTTTTCAGTTGTTGGGTTTGAATATTAGAGTGATGAGAGAGAAAGAAAAGGGGGATTTCTTCGTGGGGAGGGGAAAAGAGTAAAGAGCAAGACTTGTAGAGGGGAAGATGCATGAACCTCCAACTGTGAGGAGTGATACTTTCTCTCTCCTCTCTCATTGCTTATTTCTCCAATATTAGGTAATTACAATCATTCCCCTTATGTATGGTCAAATTATGAAAACACCCCTTATGGTTGAGTAATTACAACCAGCCCCTTCAACTATAAATCTTCTTGCACGTCCACCCTTGCGGTGTCAAATTTAGTGTAATCTTCTAGATTATGTGGAATATTCTCAATTTTGTACCCGTTTTATCCTATTCGAGCTCCACATTTTGAAGCAAGATGATCATACGATGTGTTTTTTGGCTTGTATATATATCAGATTGTGGTGCATCAGAAACTGTATTTTCTGCATAAAATGAATACAAACTAGAGCACATTCCATGGAATCTAGAAGATTATGTTGAATTTAACACCATAAAGGTGAATGCGTAAGAAAAGTCATAATTGATGAATATTTATAATTATCCAAATATAATAGGTTTTTTTTCGTAATTTGAACATACCTCAAAGGTGATTGTAATTTACCCTAGATATTACTTTATTTGTTCTTCTCATTCAAGTGATATGAAGTTGAAATTAATTAATTAATTAATTTAATTCGGAGTGGGGAAGAGTCTTGTATCTAAATTTATTCTAGCAATGCAACAAATATGTTATTTCCCTCCAAATTCTACTTCTTTTGATTGTCGGAGAGCTCATCGGGCGTTGGATCCAAAGTCGGTGGCGGCGAAACATGTGGACGTAAGAATATTAAAGACAAATGTTTGAGAAGAGAGACTTTATTAATTGTAATAATGTAACCATACGAGGGAGGGTCAGTCGTTTGAATGACTCCTTAGTCAGCTCGCCACCTACTCCTTTTGTTCCTTCTTACACGGCCTGAACCATAATAGTCCATAGCCAAAACAATTTGTGCAAACTATAGGTTGGTAGGCCTCGTAGTCGTCTTTAGCTCATGAGTAGACTCATCTATAAAAT